TTGTCAGTGGCTAGGCGATAACGCCGATTCCGTGCCGGGGAGGGTAACGATTCGAGGATACTCGGAAAGGAATCGCGGTCGTTTCCTTTGGAAAAGGTGGAAAAAGTAGTAGAAGAAGAAAGAGGAACGAACGAAAACGTTGGACGATTCGGGGGACGATTATATTCGTTTTCTTAGTTATTGGCGCGACGACGGATGGGCCAACGATCGGATAGGACGGAAAAGCGATCCAACCGCGGCCAACGACTACGCGGGAACATCCTTCTCTCTCTCTCTCTCTCTCTCTCTCTCTCTCTCTCTTTTTTCCACGCGTTTTACGATGCTCATTTCCGTTCACGGTAATGTCACTTTGTATAGTTTTATCTCGGCACACCGGTGCAACGGGCACAGTCGTAAAACACTTATGACACCCGTAGCATAATAATGGCCGATAGCGGGTATCTGGCCTGGGTATAGAAGGCGGCGCGTTCGCCATTTTCCTAATTAATGTTTAATGCACTCGATATCTTGCCCTCCTTACCTCCGCCGCTGCACGAAACCGTTCATTCGACCATTCATACCGCCGCCGCTGGCCAGGCCTAATGGTCGTGCCAACGTCTTCCATCTTTGACACGATCGTCGTGGAATCAGGTTAAAATTTGCGTAGCTGTTACTCGGGCAGATAAAAACAGAAATTAAAGGCATTACCAGTTCTTAATCTTAATGAGCTTTCCGTTTCCCCCCTTGCTCGGCTCACTCTTCGCCCACGAGTCCAACGATCCGTTATCGCGATCTCGAGCTCGTTTTTTTCCCCCTCTCTTCTTCTCGAATCGGTTTTCGAAAAGTCAAATGTTCGATTCTTCCCCCCCCCCCCTCGTAAGGGAGGGGGGTGAAAACGGTATTATACGGATTAGCTACGCAACGATTCGAACGCACGTGGTTCAACGTATCTGTCGTATCTGTTTTCAGTCTCATCAGGAAGAGGATCTGTCGGATCCGGATCTTCAGGATGAAGAGAGCGGCGAGGAGTTACCTCAGCAACCACTTCAAGGTAACACGCACTCCTCGACGGATAGTGCATCCGCACAGGCTGGTACACCTACTCCATTAACACACTTGAACAGTCTGATGGGTGCACATCATCCGCACTTTCTGGCAAAATTGAAGATGGAGGTCAGTTGAAAATCGACGTTCTACGCTTTTTCTTTTCCTTTTTTTTTTTTTTTTCGTCTCGTTTCCTCGAACGCATGCTTCCCGAAAAAGAATCTAATTTTTTCGACCAAGAGATGATCTCGAATCAACGAGAGGGAATCACCATGTTTCTTTCCTTTGCCGCCCCTCCCCTCTCCTTTCCTTCGCGATAGAAAAAAAAAAGATCCAAAATTTCTTACTTTCTTTCCTCTTTCCACGTAGAGAAGCAGGAGAGTCGGGGAAGAGAATTTATCTGCTAAATCGAAATCGATTTCTTTTTTTTTTTTCATCTCGTTTCCTCGAAAGCATGCTCCCCGAAAAAGAATCTAATTTTTTCGACCAACTCGATTCCTCGATCGCGATGGAGAGATGATCTCGAATCAACGAGAGGGAATCACCATGTTTCTTTCCTTTCCCCCCCTTACTCTCGTTTCCTTCGCGATAGAAAAAAAAAAGATCCAAAATTTCTCACTTTCTTTCCTCCTCCCGCGTAGAGGAGCAGGAGAGGCGGGGAAGAGAATTTGTCTAAATCGAGATCGATTTCCCACAGCCCACCGATATGGACGCTTTGAACAACAAGAGTGGTTTAGAAGCGTTGCAAGCGGCAATGGGCGGAAGTGGTTTCAATCTACCATTCTCGTTTCCACCGCCCGCGTTTCTGACGCCCCAACATCACTCGCAAAACAGTCACGCGCAATCTGGTGGTGGTAGTATCGGGAGCGGGGTTGGAAATCAAGTGACGTCGTCGGCTAGCTCACATTCTAGCGAGTCTTCACAGGGGAGCGCTAGGAATGGTGGCGAGCCTCGCGAGACGAACAGTCAATCGCAGAGTAATACGACGGGAGCGAATCATCAGCAACAGACCAGTTGGAGCTTCGAAGAGCAGTTCAAACAGGTGCGTCAGGCAAGTACTTATATGTATATATATATATATATGTGTATGTATGTATGTATTTATCACCGTTCAGTTTCCTCTTTGCCCTCGTTATCGATCGTGTTTCGATCGATCGAAAAGAAAGTGGAATCGGTTTCGTTTCTTTGAGCACGATCGATGAGTGCGTCTCTTGGTGAGGGGGTGGGGAGGGGCAAGGATCGTTATCGATTCTTTATCTTCTTTCGAGATAGAAGCTCGAGGAATCTGCATCGGTTAACATTTGTCGCGATAATAATTATTTTTTCCCTCCCTCCCTCTCTCTCTCTCTCTCTCTCCAGTTCTTCTTTTTTTTTTTTCCTTCGATCGATTGTAATTGAATGTTCCGGGCGTGTAAATTGATCTTTATCTTTATGGGTGGAATTGCGAGGAATTAATCGAATAAGGAACGTGTAATTACAAACGGCAAACATTCGCGCGGAGGATAAAGAAAAAAGGATGGGAAGAAGGCATTTATCGCGGGGAGGGGGGTTAATTGACGCGGCAATAGGAGTTAATTACTATTTTTACACGCGCGGGATATAATTACTGACCGTTCTCGAATGACCGCCTCGGTTGACAGTCGGTCTTTCCCCGTCGTCGAAGGAAGGACGATTGATCGTGGAACCCGTGGAATACGGATTAGGTGTGGAATAGGTGATTGAAAAAGAAGAGAAAGAAGGAAGAGGAGAGAATATTATAAAGGGAGGGGTGAGACGGAGTCTTACGGAATAGGAAAGGGATGCGAAGAGGGGGCGCATCGAATTATTAAGGATACTTCAAAATTTTCTTTCCTTTTGCTTCCATTTTTCATTTTTCTCCTTCTCCTTCTCCTCGACGATCCTCGTTCGTTTCCTCCTCTCGAGAAGAGGAAAACAAAAAAAAAAATATCGAAAACCGGGTTGTTTTTCGTGTCTTCGCGATACGGTTCCTTTCCCTTGGATCCTTCTCGAAGCATGGAGGATTCCGCGCAGGGGTTGTTCCGCCTCGAGACAGAGAGAGAGAGAGAGGTCTCGAGAAGGGGGGCAAGGAGGCTCGAGCCTGCGCTATCGCCGATTAAAGCGCGGAGACGCGAGCGAACGCGAAATAGGTACGGTAGGGAGACAAGGAACAAGCGTTAGGAATGAAAATGGAAGTCTCCACCTACTCGAGGAGCAGCGGCGCCCTCGTCTCCTCCACGGGATCGCATCCATCATTCCGGTGGGGGCGTACTTGCCCGGTCTTTAATCTTTAGCTCTTAGCGAGAGGATGCTGGTTTCTTCCCTTCTCTCCTGTTTTCGAGACGAGAGAGAGAGAGAGAGAGAATCGCCCCCTTTTTCCACGCTCACGCCCGTTCTCCAAATTTAACCGATCTCGCGCTCCCCTCGCGATCGATGATCATCAGTTCGAGAGAGAGAAATAGAGAAAGAGAAATAGAGAGAGAGAGAGAGAGAAGCGATGGCAGTTCGTCGATTCTTTTTTCTTTTTCCTTTTTTTTTTTTTTTTTTTTATCGTCCACGATTATTCGAATATACGGACGGACGGTTATTTTCGCGACTCGTTTTATCGCGATTTGTGTGCATTGCAGCGCTTTAATTTCAATATCGCCACGTAATCGTTCCGCAGAAGCGTGCGCTTACGTGAGCCGCCGACCGATAATGTTGCATATTAAAATTCGACTCGCGAATTATACGATTCCGTATTGATATTTAACGACGAAATTTATGATTCCTATGATTTTTTTTTTTTTCTATTCCTTTTTTTTTTATTTTTCCTATTTTTTATTTTTCCTTCTTTTCTCTCTTCTCTCCTTCTCCCCCCTCCCCTCTTCCTTTTTTTTCTTCTCTCTTTTTTTTTTTTTTTTTTTTTTACAGTACTCTCGAGATTGCGCAACAATTGGTTTAACGATCGCGTAAACCAATAAAACTCAGTATGTATCGCAATTGTTAGGAAATCGGTAAACGCGCTTCTCGCTTGGTCATTTTATTTCAACCGGCGATAACTTTATTACGAAATCATCGACCCAACGTTCGCACGATTGGCAAATCNGCAGCGTATAAAAAAAACTGGCTCCATTGTCCGTCGCCCCTCTCCTCTCCTCCCTTTTCCACCAAAAGGAAGAAAAAAAAAAACGAAACAAAAACTAGCTTTACAACGCCACTTTTTTTCATCGATCATCGTCCCGTTCAAATTTGCCGCGCTAAGAAACTTAACCTTTCGACCTTTGCCGG